AGGAGCTACGTTCAGGAGCTATCAGGCGGTCGGTCAGGATCTTCTGCGATAACGTATCGCCACGTGACTGAGATCCACTTGGCCTGTCGGTCTAGGGTAACCTAGTCTGGTCTTGCGCTGTGACAATAAGCTTAGTTATATACCTTATATAATCTACTAATAATAAACCTAATATAACTTAGTTTATTTATAATTAGGAATTAACTTATTATACCTAGTATTAGTATTATTAGATTTTTTAATAATATAATATTACTTAGTTATTAATATAATATATTTTAAATAAAAGCTATTAACGTGGTTAATAAGCATACGTTGCAGATAAGTATGCATTGTATTTTTCCCTCTTATATTTAACTTTTTATCTAATCGGATAATTCTTAATAACTAAAAATAGTATAACCTTTAGATAAAGCTAGAACCCTTTTTGTACTTTAAGCCCTTTAAAATAATCTAAAACTTAGTATCTAATATATTACAAAGAATTATAAGATCTCTAAGTATAGATTATATTACTGCTATAATGGCATTTAATTATAACACGATTAGATCCTAAAGTTATAGAAATTATTTAATTTAGAGAAATAGATAATAATCTAATTTGTCCTTAACCTAAATTCCTGAGGATTTCCCTTATAACTGCGTTTTATAGAAGAAATAGCTAATTCTCTGCTTACTGACTATAATATATTACCTATTAGTAAGCGCTAGGCTTATAACTTTATAAAGTAATAACTAGAGCTAAAGATGTATTTATTTTATAAATATAATTATTAAAGAGCTAAATATAAAAATCCAATTATTATTTGCAATTAGTTCAGGCTTATATAGAATATAATTGCAAAGTATAATATCTAATTAGATAATATCTAGAACTTTAATAAGACTGGCTTTATAATAGGCCTTATTATAGCTGGAATAGTTATTATAAGTTTAGAAATATAAAGAAGGCTAAAATTAGTGCAGCCTAGAAACTAGAAATAGATTATTATAATCTAGGCAATTAATATAAAAGGTTAATTAATTATGCTATTTATTATTAGTACAGGCCAATATTACCTTACTAATTAGTACTAAGAATATAACCTCCTAGGCAATTAAGTTATTATAATAAGCTAAAATAGGTAGATAAATAACAAGCTAAGTCTTAAGTAGCTAAAGTACTTTAATTAGTCTATAATTAACTAATTAACTAGTCCTTATTATCTCCTAATCCTTAATAGTTATAAAAGCTACTACTTAGCTGATTTTAAGAGATATTATAAGGAGAATAAGATTATTATGCTTTATATACCTGCTTATATATCTTATTTACTTTAGCCTCTTAATGTTAGGTGCTTTAGGCTGCTAAAATAGGCTTATAGTTAAGAAATAGAGTATCTAATTAGATATTTTATAACTTATATTTCTAAGATTAAGTTCTTTTTTGCCTTTTATATTATATTTAGAGCTATCTTTATAGAAAGTAATATCTAGGGGGGTTTTAGAGGAGCTAGGCTTGCTTCTTTTAACCTAGAAACTATAATCTTAAAGCTTAATATATAGCTATAGACCCTAATGCCTCCTAGGGAGGCTACTTAACTATTAATACTATAGGCTTTAAAGACCTTAAAGATAATAATTAAGGCCTAATCTTAGTCTAAATACCTTAAAAGGCAAATTAAAAGGTATTATAGTAGCTCCCTAGAGTTTATTATTAAAGCTTTAAAGTTAACTATTAAGGCAATAAAGGCAGTTATATATAAGGTTATCTTATTAAGGGCTAAGCTTTATAATCTTTAAGATATAAATAAGATATTAAGTTAGTGCTATAGGGTAAAAAGGATTAAATTATAGAAAGGAGAGATTATAATTATATAGGAAGTATTGTAAGTAATTAATTAGATAGATATTAATATGTAGGTAGTAGCTGAATTATTGAGAAGTGGTAGTTAAGGAAAGTCAGAGTAACTAGGTAGTTGGCGCTGTAGTATATATAGTAAGGGCAGGTATAATATAAGAACTTATTAGGTAGTTCTTAAGTTATCTAGGGAGGAATTTAGTATATAAAAGCTAGCCTTTTTAAACTGCAGCTTAAGCTTTTAAGCTGTAGGTTGAAAAGGTTAAGGAAGGTGCGATGTATACTTGTCTGTGATGTATGCTTATTAACTATGTTAATATATAATAAATATAATTTTAAATAAGGAAATTAATTTATATTAGGTTTATATTTATAAAATATATAAAGTATTAATACTAAGTAAGTTAATTATTATATCTCTTAATAATTAAGTAATATTTACTAGGCTTTATTAATATAAAGAAGTCTTATTAATAGTTAATAAGCTAAGTTTATAAAAGTACTAATAAATATAATTTATATATTAAAGATAATTTATAAGGATTATTAAAATAGTTAAATTATAATAATCTTAAATTATAGTATAAATATTTTATTATAAGAATTAAGGGCTATTATAAGATAAAGGAGAGGAAGTAAGAAGGAAAAGAGGAGGAAAAAGGTAAATTAAGAAAAAAAGGTTTTAGTATTTAAAGAAAAACTATAAATATTAATAGATTAAGGCTAGCTTAGCAGATTAGTAATAAATTAAATTAGGTTATAAGATAATATAATAAGAGAAATATAAATTAGGGATAAATATAATTAAATAATACTTAGGGATTTATATATATATAATAGTTTTTAAAGTATTTTGTTTTATAAAAATTATATTTTATTATAAATATAAGCTTAATTAGCCAATAAGTAAGGCTTAAAAAGGTAATATTATTTTTAAAATAAGATATAATTTTAAATATTAATTAAATTATATTTATAAGTATTAGATAATTAATTAAATAGTTTATTTTAATAATAAAGCTTAATTAGCTAATAAGTAAGGCTTAAAAAGGCAGTATTATTTTTAAAATAAAATATAATTTTAAATATTAATTAAATTATATTTATAAGTATTAGATAATTAATTAAATAGTTTATTTTAATAATATAGCTACTTATGTATTTAATATATATTTTTATATCTTTATATATAGCTTAATTAGTTTATTATATATAATATAAAGAAGAAGGGCTAATTTGGCCTTGTGTCAGAACTTTTGTCCATCTACTGTAGTCATGAGTCCACATAATATAGTGGGGTTTACTGCTAACAGAATAAAACGCCACTCCTCTCCATTCCTCTCAAGTCATAATTCACTCACGGACGGCCTCATCTCATCTTGAACATCAAAACCCGTGCGCCGCGATAAGTACAATGGACCCAAATTTGGAGCTTTACAGAAGCCTACTGCACCTGATCCCGTCCCAGCGCCGCCACCGCATGGCATATCTTCCCCGATCAGAAGTTATCAGAGTCGAAACAATTGTCCAAGACGAGGATAATACCAAGAGGCTGGAAGAGACTATCGCAGGTCGAGACCTCATTCAAGTGGCCCTGGATAATCCTTCCGAGATTAAAGGGGATGGACAGCTGAAAAACATCGTGCTTGGCCGAACCAACCGCCTCGAGGACGAGAACAAAATGGTCAGGCGCATCACCGATAACGTTGCGAGTAGCAGTTCAAGCTTGATTCATTATATCGAGAATTTCGATCAGTTTTCATATGCATTAAATTTGGATGCCTGGAAGCTAGTATACTGCGATATATATTACGTTGATAGAGGCAATGCTACGCTACAGGAGATCTACGAAGCACGCCTACAGGAAGAGGATCTTCAGACGCCTGCCGCCCGAGCTAGAGAGCTTGTGCGGGATAACGACCTCAAGCGAGCTCGAAGGAATGCCAAGTGGATGATTCCAGCTATCGAAGGACTTTCAGAGGACGAGAAAATGGGGTGGGCGGATAAAGATCCAGACCTCATGGACCGACTCTATGAACAGTTAAGACTTGTGGTTGAGAGCTTCAATCAAGAGAGAGGAATTGGTGAAGTCGAACGGCGCAAGATGATGGAAATTCAAGAAGAAATCCAAGAACTCAATTTGAAACCGCGGGACTACCGGGACATCCTAGAAGGGGTCTGGAAACGGGTTTCGCCTGCGCCGCCTCCATGGCTACAACATATCCTACAGACTGGCGAACAATTTGGGTTTGTCTACTACAGATCTAGAGAATTATACCAGACACGCTATAACTGGAACTCAGTTTGGAGTCGAATTAGGAATACCAGTTCGCCATTGAGGGTAACCTGGTCTTCTATCCATTGTCAAGGTAGCAAGAACTGGATGTCTCTGCATTCGCTTGAAACTGAGAACTGGCCTATATTCTCCCCTAATGAGGAGTTGGCTGAAGACGACGACCTCCGCAAGTGTGTATAACCATCACCAGACTAATACTGATGAACTCACTAACTACTTGTTAGGCACTTTAAAAAATACTGCGAGGAGAATCGTTCCAAGACCGCAGAGGATGAAAAGAAGAATAAGAAGAAGAGAAAGAGGAAAAACATAGAGGACAATGAGAATCTGCTGTCCCCTGGAATTCTGCGGAACACCTTCATCGTCATTCCCCTCGAATTCGTTTCCGGCAATCTTAATATTGAGGAACGTGACACTTACGATCCCTGCTGGGTTTGGGCGTATGATGCAGACTGGGATGGCTCAGATGAAGTGACCGTCGATGGTGAGAAGTACGAAGGCCGGGTCAAGGTGGCTAAATGGTCGCTCAACTCCTGGTTCTATGCTGCTCGGTGGGAAGGGGTGAGTCTCCGGGATATGTGGCTTAAAGCACAGCGGCATCCGGATAAGTACTGGATTTGTTATACAAAGGAATTAGAAGAGTGGGATCACGAGCCATATGTTTAGCTTCGAGCTCGTGGAGGACCGGATCTTGGTCATGCTTGAGCTATTACTTAGGCAGTGAGCTGGGTATAGCTAAGCACTCGTAGATTCTGGCCTGATATAATGGCTTAAAACCCTGTAAGGCTACTTACTTGACTTAGGAAACCTATTTATAAGACGTTTTGTTTTTTTAAGGAATTGAACCATGTTGGAGAATACTGCAGGCTCTGTTTGTAAATTCCCTGTCTGCTTTGTTAGTAACCCGTTGGTGTAGTTATAATAGAAAAACGAAAGTAATTACAACAGATACGCAAATAAACATAGGTTCATGATTCTGTCTACTGATAGAGCTTAAATTTATCGCTGATCGAGGATTGTAGATTCGTTATAATCCAGTTTAACGGAAAAATACACTCTACTTAATCGATCTATGAGCCATATCGTTATTAATCACGTGATCGGTCACGCGCTTCACGTGCGGAGCTGTGGCCTTGAAAACTCGTATGCATTCTACTAGTTGTTGCTCTTGACCACTTCCACTAAAGAACATCAACGAGCAGCCATGGTAAAAACTGTTCCATGATCATGGGTTCGGAGTGAAGCTAATTGTAATCAACAGGAGGTTTAACTATTTAACCAGGAAGCCTTTGATACAGCTGCGATAGAAGAGAGCACTAATGAAATTAAGGGTATCAGTTAAATTATTCACTGGCGCAATTGTAATTATATATTCTAAAAGAAATATTAAGGCTGTGTTTAGCTAGGTATGCCTAAGGATGGAGGTTGGGTAAAGGTCGATCTGGGCTTTTCTGTTTATTTTATTAGGGGTTCGAAGGGCGAGGTCAGAATGGCCAGTGTGTCTATTAACTAAGTAAACTAAAATTTGACCCCCTTACTCAGCTTGGTTGACTAGAGCCCTTTACTTTACTTGGTTGCTTATAAGAAGTTCTTACTTGGTTAATCTTACTTGACTACTATTCCTAATTGGGCAATTTCCATGGTAATATGCTGGTCTAAAGTAGGTGCTTTTGGCACTTAAGTGCTGCTATAGTATCTGACTTAAGGCGATTCCGTTTATCGGTAATAACCTTTTTTATCTGTAAGAATACTTGCTTATACTTAGTGCTTATTACTGGGCAACTGAATAAGTTAAAGGCCATCTTAGAGAGGATAGGGTAGTTAGATGCATAGCAAACCTACCACTCTAGAGGATCCTTAACTTCCATATCAGCCTTATTTGCCCTGGCCATGAACTTATCGAGCTCAGAGGCGAGTTTGATGCGCTTATTTCCTCGTGAGCCTGATGCCGCAGTGGCAGCAAGTCGCTGACGACGCTTACGGGCCTGCTGGAGAGGATCTAGCGCCACGTTATTGTTATCAATTACCTCCTCCTGTGGTTATGCTCCTATTATGCCCGTTTTGGCAGCTGCTTCCTCGTAATGCGCGTATACCTCCTGTACTACTCTCCTTGCCTTACTAATCTACTGCTTATTGTGACTCCATTCTAGCTCGAAGTATGTAAATTTGTTCGCAGGGTGTAGGGCAACTGCACAGCGGTATGTAGGCATGGCATCTGTAAGGCCAAAGTACTCTTTAAGCTTGATGCGAGCAGCATCGATAGCATAGGAATAGTATGTGGACACCACCTCGGGGTGATTATCTGCAAACTTTCCAGCCTCTTGAAGCTCCTTGAAGAGAACGTCTAGCGACTTAATCGTTTCGTAAAGGGAGCCGTGGGATCCTTTAAGGCCTGCTTTATTTGCCTGGCCTTCTATGCGTTTTATTAGATCTTTAAACGGCTTTAAGATATCGAGGAAGTGTTCTAGATTAATCCAATCCTGCGAAGTAAGCATATCCTGTGAGATATTATATTCCTTGTCGATATGGTTGTAGTTAAGGAAGAAGAGATTAATGGCATGGCGGAGTTTAAGAGCTCTTTTAATTATCGCATATGCAGAGTTCCAGCAGATACCGCCATTAACCAGGACTCTACTGTAGAGGCACTCGATGCTGCCTTCGTCGTACGCCGTCAACACGTACTGTTTCAGCAGCTCCCGTCGCTGGTCACTCCTGTTGACCCATACACAGAAGTTGTGGAGCTTTCCGATAAAGCTCTATTTCCTCTATATCTCAAACCGCTCCTCATCGGATGCGCCACGCAGCTGTTGTTCCATCTTGCTAACACCCTGCCTAAAGAGCAGAGCTTTGACGATGAGATTTAACATATGACTAACGCACCGAAGGCGACTCTGCAGTTTAATGGCCGGGTATTGCTTTTCCAGCTCCTGAATGCATATGTTATTATTGCCAGCGTTATCTATCATGAAGAAGCCAATGACGGTGGAGATATCGTAAAAGTCAATGACTTTAGATAACGCCTTTGTAAGATTCTCACAGGAGTAAGGTCCTTTCAGAGGTGGGAGGTCTAGAAGAGCTGTTTGCAGCTTATGGCTTTCGTCCAAGAAGTGAGCAACAACTGCTAGATAGTTCGTTCCTTCTTCAGATATCCAGGCATCTACCGAGATATGGATCTTGCTTGTAGCAACATGTAGCTTTTCTATCAGCCAAACACGCCTTCCAGCATCACCGACCTATTTCTCTTTGATCCAGTTACTGAGGGCAGATAGGCTCTTTGGCAGAATCTTGCCAATGTCTTCCAGATGGTTGGTAAAGATCTTATGAGTGCGTTGATGGGTTACTTAACGGAAGGTGAGATCGAGGTCAATAACCTAGTCGATAAAGTCGTCCTTGAATTACAAGTCGTTAAACACTAACCGCCGGCCTCCGAGATATAATATAGGGTTAGTTATCCCCTTTGCCATACTACAGGGGTTTAATAGTGCTGCCTGGTATCCGAAGTCTTCCAGTTTATGTTAATGCTTTAGGTGGTATATTACGCTAGTAGTGCTCTCGCTGGAAAATAGTGCAGTATGGTGGTATCTACGTATATGGCAGTACTTGCAGAGCCAGTACTTGTTATCTCCATCGGTTGTGAGCTGAGTACCATGTTTGTAGATTGCTGACGGTTAGAGTTTGGAGTTAAGGGTGCGCTTATGAGGCTGGCGGTATCGAATTGATGGGACAGGCTTCCCGTTATAGCGAATCTTGTCCTAGTTAATAGGGAAAACACATTAAGAGCTCGTTGGAATCTGTCTTTCGTCGGCAATGGTTGGTGTAGATGCGCCGTTATTAAGTACCAGTATATCAGTTAGAGTTGACACGGAGGTAGGCGTACTAGGCAGGGTAGAACCGAGTTAGTATTAGTAATAGTTATATTATTAAAATATTTTACTTTTAAATAATATTTTAAATAATATTAAAGTTATATTAAATTATTATTATTAGATAGTTATTAATAAAATACCCTCTTTTACTAAAATATCAGGATAGGAATACTATTAATATATATAATTTTAGTTTTTATTCTATTATAAGGAGAATAATATACTTAATGCATTTCTTAGATATTCTTTGGTTTAGTTCTAATGCAAAAAGTATATTAAATGATTTTTATATTTTAGGTAAGGGGGTAGTGGAAAATTAATAGAACTTTTATTATAAACGGTTTCTATAGGTCTATTATAACCAAGCCAGGCATATTCATTTGCTGAATTATTAGTAGCTCATTTTTAAATAGCTATTAGGCCGAAGCAGGCCCTACTTCTAACTTTAATATTTAAGTAGAGACCGTTGAAACTATTATAAATATAGTTAAGCAGTTGCCAGTTTTAGCACTTAAGATACAAGAGCGGACAGTTTCCTCCAAGCTTATCAATTTAACCCTAATCAACTAGGCCTATATAAAGAGTGTCTGTTACCAAACTAAACATCTAACTTAATACCTTATTAAATATTCCATAAAAGGAGAGGCTGGCTTCCAAGAATTCGGAAGGCCCATAGATAATATTTAAAGACTTTAATACCCTTAAAACCAGTTTCCCGATTCACAAGCTGCTTACAATCCCTTCCCTAAATCCATAAGCTCCTAATAGTGGATTCATAATTCTCCTAAAGTTTAACGCAGTTAAGGGCATTGATGTTGATAAGACCGCCCTCATTTTCTGTGTTACCACTTGGAAAACGGAACTTTAGAAAGAGAACTTACAACAGCCGTTCCAGTGTCGCAGCAGTAGGTGCCTTGGTTGCAGCCGGTTGAGAGGATCCCAACAGTACAGGCCAGGCCCAGAAGGCCGCCGCCATTGCAGCATACCTGCTGATGATTGTCGCTGTTGCAGGTACCACCGCCACCACCACCGCCGCCGCGAGCCTCAATCTCAGCAGGAGCGGCAATGGCAACAACAGCCAAAGTGAGGGCGGAGAGAAGAGCAGTGGTCTTCATTTTGATTGTCGTGAAGAGGCTTTTGGTTTAATAAAAACTGAACTGGGAGGTTTGGTAAGAGGTTTTGGAGGCTTGGGTGCTTTGAGGATGCGATGGATAGTTGTGAGCTGAAATGTTCGAGTCAAGGTGGAAGTCAAGGTGGTTTATATGGACGAAGCCGAGCACGATCAACACAAGTTCAAGTTCAAATTCAAGTTCATAGTGTTTACGATTACTGTAAGCTGCGGAAGTTGCCGCAAAGAGCTCTCTGCATCCCCCCCACCCCTCTTAATCAACCATTATCATACATCAAGCGAAACTTCTTTTCTTGATTTTTATCGCCACCTATGCATACTCGCCTCACCGCCGTTGTCGCATTGTTGCAATAAACTCACTGCTCAGAGGAGGTCGACGAGGCATATGGCTGCTCAGGAAGTTTAGTTAATGTGGGAGTCCCTTCGTAGCTGGGATGTATGTATCTCCTCGGAGTTTGTTGCAACCTTAGCCTTGATGATCCCTGGGTCCACGGAGTGCACTGGGAATTTATGCTGTCATCATGATTGTACGGTAGTCCTATTCTGAGCAGTCACTGTAGTACTTGCATTAGACGCCGGAGGTAATACACCGGAATGCTGGGATTATACAACATTAAGCGGTACTTCTGGTTTTTGATCTAGCCTTCCCCTACATGAGGGTCAAGAGAAGTTAGCAAAAGAAGGGCATTTTGATTAGTGGGGCAGTAAATACAATACTTTTGAACCTTATTTGGTATGTATCCTATATTTTCGCATAATATTGTTTCAGTCGATCATTCCCTTAGTAAGAATAACATTGGTTTATGACCGAGTTAAAGGTAACGTTTACACTAAATAATGTTAGATAGCCGCGCGTTGATCAGCAAGGCAAAAAGACTAATTTATGGCTTGATAGTCAAAATCCGGATTATTAGTTCAAAGTCTTATTTGACTTTAGCGTCACCTTCTCCCGGCTCGTCTCTTCATGTGATTTCCGCATAGCCGGGAAAGCTCCAACTGATGCCCTCATAGTTGCCAGGTGCCGGTATTAATGCCTGACCAAGAAGGAAGTGATCGGCAAATAGTAGGTTATTGAGAAACGATAAGGGATTCAGAGCCTCTCGATTGGTGAGGTTCGCGGTGTCTAAGTTCAATAGTGCACGAAGATCGACATTACCTGCATGGGCGCTTGCAGCTTCCTTGCCAATGCTGAAACATATGTCCTGGCTATGCCTTATAGTCTTCCGACTTACGGGTATCTTAATAAGAGCTCTATAAAACTGAACGTTTTAGTCGTGCTGGTGCCTCTTTTGGGTACTAAAGATATATTAGCCACCGAGCTGGCAGGGTCAGGAACTAATATTTGTAATAATTGCAACTACCTTTGTATAGACACAATATAATCTGAGCCGGAGATGCAACGTCTTGACACGTAATGAGACATCCTGAACCCGGTTGCCAATACCCCACCTTGCCACTGTTATTGGCCAAGCAAGGCTGCCTGGTATCATAGCGTAAAGGCAGCTTTTACCGGAATTGAAGTCGTTAGAATATGACGCCACTTACCACAATCTAAGGTGTGTCCAACGTCATGGTTTGGCTTTGCTTGTAGTAGCTCGAAACTAACGCCTGGACGGAATCCTAACATGTACTATTTCGGCGTACAGTTCTTATCGTGGATGATTACTTTCACTCTTTTTAAAAACTACTTCTAAGTCTTAATGTCCTCCTAGTCCTTGCTCAATCTTCTGAGATTTGACTATGACGACACTTCAACCTTAAACGACCTAGCAGAAAGCGATGCACTTTTACGCCACAAACCCTAATTTTACCATTTATTTTGATCGACAGTCAATATGCTTTTTCAGTGGTCGGAAGAAGCCGCATGCCGTAAAATCGCGGGGAAAATACAGCATTCGACAACTGCCGAACTTGCTTTGTGCAGAGGAGTGGAGGAAACCTACTGCAAAGGTCGGATCAGTATTTGAGGGAAAATTAGAGAAGCGTAACAGCGTAACATTATTCACAACTTTTTGTTCATTTCATGTTCCCTTTGCAAGCTTCTAAGTTTCACTCTGTTGTATGCCTAAAGTTGGCCACCGGGAATTATAGCACTCTTCTGCAGCTTAAATGCCGAGTCTAGTTGGCAGATCGGAGCGGGAACGCACGGGCCGTTAGCCCTAGACTACCTAAGGCTAGCCACTAGTACCCTTCCTACCGAATCCCAGGACTCGGGTGCGGATTTCCATCGAGTGGCTAGTGTAACAGTCGCACCTAACCACTACGCCACGGGGCAAAAGATTCGGCTACAACTGCTATTGTAGTAATCACGGTGGTGCGTATAGCTGCTTATAGAAGCCTTACAGCGCTGTTATGGGCACAAATCGTAACAGCTAGGTATTAAATTATTATTATATAATATATTTACTTTTTTTCTTTTTTATTTATTATACCAATTAATATAACTTAATTATAGCTAGGATAATAATATAATAATAATTTTTTTTTTTTTAAGTTTATAAGTTAGCCTTAAAAGGTATATCTAAGCATCTCTAAAGTCTAATATAATTTAAATATTTATTACCCCTTAGTAGGTAAAGCTTTATTAAGTTAATATTATTATAGTTAGCTGCCTTAATTATAGCCTGAACCTAGCTGCATATAACCTAGCTAGAGAGCCTTACTCTTTAGCTGGCCCTAATCTTCTTCCTGCAACCTACTTTAAAGGATACCATGCTTAAATTATCCACTGCGCTTCTATAGTAAGTAATCTAATCCAAATACCTTCTTATTATAACTACTAACAGCATTATAGCTATATTATAATAATACCTATTAAAAGAAGCCTATAAATATCTAATCCTAATAAGCCTTATCTAATAAAAGGCTATAATATAATTAATATAATTAACTAAGCTATTAAGGAAGATAATTATACTAAGCTTTATAATATAATAATAGAAATTAGAGAGGCCTAGTTATATAAGGATAATACTAGCTATATTAGGCTAATAGCCTTTAGTTATAAAATACTCCTGCTTATATACCCTCTCTATAATAGCCACCCTCCTATTAAAAAAGCCTTCCTTAATTCTAAGATAAAGGAACTTAATAAGCTAAAAGGGAAGCTAATTAGAGGGGCAAATCTAAGCCAGAGGGAGAGGAAATTTATTAAGGCCCTTTGCAGCAGCTTATATAATAAGTGGCTTAAGACTATCTAAGGGCAGGCTAAGAGGGTATTAGAGAAGACTAAGCCCTTATAATAGGCTGGCCATGGTCTTAGACCACGAGAGCATAATATAATATCTGCTATCCAAGGACGGTTAACAGAGGATAAATATATAAATAGAAGAGGGGTAATTATAAGGTTTAGGAAGAAAATATATTAAGTTTTTTATAAGTTTAGTTACCTAAAGTTAAAGACTATTAGTATTAGCGGTATAAAAAGGGTTAAATAGGTCACGGGATATAGCATGTAATAGATTTAATAGATTAGCTAAATATTAGTATACTATTAATATAAACAGGGGATAATAATATTATATAATATTTATACTAGCTAGAATAAAATTATTATTAAAAGGTATTTTTTAATTAATTACTTCTATTTATAAGACTTACTTTTTTTAGCTTATTAACTTCTACTTTCTTTATATTAATATAACTATGTATAAACCTAGGTTGCTATTATATAATATAAGTTATTAGGTATCTTCCTTGTTATATCTTATATTAGCACTAAGTAATATACTTTATTATATAATCTATTATAGAGGAATACATTCCTGGTTGCCACTTTACCCGGGTTGCACTCTAGAAATATATATAAGGTTGCTCACGTGGAATTGGGGATACTGGCCACGATAGACTTCGGCAAAGGTATTGCCAAGCTTGAAGCGCAGCTAGCGCCGTCATCGTATATCCTGTCTCCAAGTTGTCACTTGTCAGGAGGTATGGCGCTGTACTACTGGTTCAAGGATGGTCCACAACAAAGCTCAAGAGATTGGGTCTTCGCGCTTGGTGATTACCATCCAGCATACAACGCACCTGCTCAACACCCCTCGCCACCACGATTACAGATTGCTTGGTCATTGGGTCCCCTATTGATCACAGGAAGCGCATACTTTGCTGTATCCCCATCCGTTGCGGTGGCTGGTGCCTCTTTGCATGCCACCCTAGACATAGGCGTCCTTCATGCTTTCCTTGACGCCTGGGCGGATTCCCTCATCAACTACCAGCCTTTCATGTTCACGGCCAGTGGAGGCATTAATGTTGGCGTGAGATACACGCCTGACCTGTGGTTTTGTGACCATTCACATTAATATCCAAGTTGGTGCCACGCTTTTCCTTCAAGGTCCGCCATTCCAGGGCGTGTGCCATGTCAATTTCTGGGTGTTTGGCTTTGACATTGCTTTTGGGCCCTCCGATGGTGTTGAGTCTCCGGCTCCCATACAGCTGCTGGAGTTCTACAGACTCACATTGCAGAGGCAAACCGCGACAGAGGAAGACTCTTCGAAACCCCACATTTTCACATGCAACTCTGGCCTTGTCTCCTCCATGAAACCGGAACCGAAAGACCCCAAGGAGGTTACCAAAATGGCCCATGATTTTGCTCCGAATTCTGATTCTCCACCCTTAGTATCATCAGTTACTGCAGGTACGTTCGTGTCTACCGTGACGTCTGTGTTTGCGATCAGTAGTGTCGCGATTACGGACGAAAAGGACAAAGAGACTCAGCCGCAGTTCAATGCTCCTCTAAATACCAAACCGACTGTTGCTCATCTTATGTACCTTGAAGATGATGAGAAAAGAATTTAATCGAAGCTCAAGCTAGCTATCACCGATCCACCTGTTAACAAGACAGAATTTGGCCGAACTTCCGGAGAGAAATCAGTCTGGGAGCTTCGCGCCGTCATCAGCAGTGTTCCCAAACCTCTTTGGGATAAATGTAAGTAACAGTCCGTTTGGGCAGCCGGATAATGTTTCCCCACTCAGCTGACTAACATAACACAGATGACCCAAGCAAAGACCCAAGCAAAAACTCTCGTTCCCTACTGGATCCTTCGGGCCCTGCGACAGTCTACTTAATGATGGGCGTACAATTAATCCCTCCCGAAGCGCACTCGAGAGATGATAGAATTAAACTCTTCGATGCAGTCAAATCACAACTCGAGGATGTCATCAAGCCGATCAACTTTCCTGATACCACCAAGTTTCAGAACGATACATGGATGCCTGCTTTACCCGTCAAGCCTACACCAGACAACCCAGCAAAGCTTTGGGGAGCCGTGCGAGATCTGTGGCTGAAGCCGAAAGACGGTGAGGGATCTGCCAAGAAAGCAGTGGAATTGTGGATAACCGCGATGAATTGGACTGTTGGTGACCTCACGGGTGTTGTGCCAGAGAGGGCAGCGAAGGACTGAGCGTCTCTTTACGTAGTCGCCCCGCTAATAGCACGAGGATCTTAGCGAAGCGTCCAGTTGTCAAGTCAATCCTGGACAGCAGTACCCACGGTATGTGTTCCTAATAGAAGAAAGTCGCAATGTAGATTTCTTTAAATCAGCATTTAGGCTGTAGTAATCATTTCGGCATCATTTATAATATCTAGATTGTAAACCTCAGGCCAGAGAGCACCCAAATGCAACACCGTACGACAATCTACAGTGTCACCTTACCCTCGCATCTCGCTTGGCGTACACTTGCTGGATGCAGCGAGAGAAGAGAGTACTATGCAAATCTGATCTGATTACTGCATGATGTTGGACAAGCCTGGCCTCGATACATGGTGCTGGTTGCAGCAACGCTTCAATGCGCCATTTTCTATCTCTGTCAACGGCCGACAACTCTCACTGTTTAACAGTTGTTAAAATATGGACAAAGCCGACGCGGTACCGGCGGTCATCAGCGAAACAAATCCACGAAACCCAACAGAGATTCTTCCAGAATCAATTCCTTCCGAGATGTCTGGCCAAGGAGGGCAGGGCCTCGTTGCAGCACAAGCACGTTGCCCCGCTCGAACCTGGATTGATGATATTCTGATTGCGACATGAGCTTCAGGATGAGAACGAAGAAGATGACGATGACTCGGCGCTCGGGGAAGACTTGTAAGTGTTGCATCTATCTGTTCTTTGCCCCCCTTTGATGATCGGTCACTAATGCATCAAGCTAGTGCAAGCTCGACTGCTTCCCTCACCTCAAGTATTCTCGAATACCGAAAGTTTCAGGGTCGGACCTTTAATAGTGACAAGTATGAGACTGAATATTTCGCACCAAATGACGAGAAGCAGAAGGAGTCCATTGACATCTCGTAAGGAACACTCTATGCAACCAACATCTGATCGCCCTACTGAAAGTTAGCAAGCCATCACTACCTCATGTTACTTCTCGACGGCAAGCTTTCGCTCGTCCCTTCGACAGATGACTTGGAGGCCAGTTCCTCATGCTTCCACACGTCTTGCTAGAACTGACGATATACAGAAGGTACTTGACATCGGAACCGGGACCGGTAAGCGATGCATTGGATAACACCCACAACAGGAAAGAAGCTGATGATCAAATAGGTATATGGGCAATGTACGGATGATTCTTGTATTTAATAGGGAGCAGTTGCAAACACTGATACCTCACAGTGACTTTGCCGACCAATACCCCAAAGCCGAGGTCATTGGCACAGATCTTTCCCCAATACAACCAGATTGGGTACCACCAAATGTCCGATTTGAACTCGAGGACGCAACTAGTAATTGGACTTGGTCCAACGACAGGTTTAACTTTGTTCATATGCGCTACTTGATTGGCGCTATCGCTGATTGGGGCGCGCTATTCAAAGAAGCGTTCCGCTGTTGCAAGCCTGGGGGCTTCGTCGAATCTGTCGAGGTCAATCCTACATTCCTCAGTGACGATGAGACAGCCAGCGATGTGATGGCAGTGCAGACATGGAATAAGCTTTTCAGAGAGGCGAGTAAAACTTTTGGTCGTAGCTTTTGCGAGATTGAGGGGGACGTGGAGTTTCTTGTTGCTGCTGGATTTGTAGACCTGCAAGTTACTGACTTCAAGGTATCGTCTTTCTCATACATCGCCCTTTCGAACCTTTGTGTCTGACATCATCTAGGTTCCTGTCGGCGGATGGGCCAAAGACTCCAAGTTACGTCAAGTCGGCCAGTTCCTTCGCGCAACGATCGAAAACGATCTTGAAGGTAAACAAGTCATCGTTTTTGGTCTTCAATCTTCTAAGAGAATACAGGATACACCCTCATGGCGTGGCAGCAGATTTTGGGGTGGCCCAAAGATGAATATGAGTTATTTCTGATGGACATGAGAAAGGCTCTCAGAGATAAGAAAGTGCACAGCTACATACGCGTTCGCTTTATTAACGCCCGTAAGCCATGAGATGCGAGGTAGATAGAGACTTGGGAAATGGAGACCACAATCAGCTTCAGGCTTTGGAGCGCCACAGACATTTGTAGCGAATCTAAGCCAGAATGAGACAAGCCATTCCTTCATTAAGAGGCAGATAGGACAATTTTATGGTAAGGTCATTGAGAGCATACTGTTTCAGCATCATTTGCTCCCATGGGTAGCAGACATATCACGGGCTCAACAAGGTCTTTCGCATTGTAATCCTCGATGCAATAAAAGTGGGAAGTCACAATCAAGACCGCGGACGGATAAATTGAGATACACAAAGATGTTGTACTTCGTGATCCTGAAGGGGTTTGGTTCAGCATTGAAACGACAGAGATCAGTGAGAAATACACCGTCCCTCCCATAGACTTTATAGTAGCTCAGTGGCCAGATGATTCAGTTCTTCACCTTTGATTGGAGCACCGAGAAATAATAGCCCTCCCTAAACCTGGTCTTCATCCTCTTCCTTACAAGGGACGCATTGTGGGGTGCAGTAGCAATCCGAAAAGATATCAGCATTATCTGATCCGACAGGGCATCGGGTCTCATTGAAGAGTACATGACCCCTCCCGTTACAGTGAGCCTGACAATGGTGGGCTATAACATAGATCCCGGCGTGGCACCGCACAGCGTAAACGGTTTGCTCTGGCTCATCGATTTTATCTTTAACATCTTCAGTCGGAATAACAGGCAAACCGACGACTATGCTGCCTAGCATGCTTCCCTGAATAGCGAATCTAAGGATTGCATTCTGAGGACCGCGTTTTCCGAACATGTTAAAGGAATTGTTTCTAGCAATCTATTAATTAGCTGGACCTTTTGGCTTGAGGCATCTTACCAAGATTGATTCGTTGAAATTAGCTGGTTTGAGAAGCTTGTGTTTTCGATATGGGGGACTGTTGCCTCTTTATAGACATGTGTTGAATGTTCACTGAGTCGGCTCACTGAGAGAATGCGAAGTGGTCTTGTTCTTTGGCCATGAGGACGGTCGAGCATGTGATTCTTTGGTTGCCTTGCATGCCGACCGATCCGACGCAAAGCTCGTAAGGAAACCGGGGTTTAGAGTTAATGTGATGTTGTCTGTTGGTTGCTAGTCGTTGGTCGTAGGTGGTTGCTTGCTGGACAATTGTCTGAGCAGTTCGCATAATGCCCAAGGTGTTATTTGGAGTTGAAACTGGCCTAGAGCTGTGGCATCCCCCTCCCTAACCTCCTTTGTGGCACAAACGTGCCGTCATGCATAGGACTAACAACCAACGAAAGCATATATTAGCCACAAAAGCTTAGTTGGTTATTAGTCTGATGCATGGTGGTACCTTTATGCCGAAAAGGAAAAGGCTGAAGTTCCCCCGCTTGGGTAATTGATAAGACACACCAACTTGGACCAAGCACATTCAATAACACAACTAGCAGTAGATCCTTCACTGTGTAGAGGACCTTTGATTTGGTAGGTTCAGAGGGGTAATATCTAGTATTTAATAAGCAAGGTACTGTCGGAATGGCAGATGCATTTTGAGAGTGGGTTAACGGCTTTGTTGGTTGTTGATGCTTTACATCAGCTGATTTGTGAGTTATGCTCTAGGTCAACCGTGGGCGGATGTGACTCGTAGGTTTTGCTCTGCATGCCCTCGAGAGCAGTATTGGAATTGGTCCGGTTTTGAAAGTAATCTCTAAGATCGACAACGATATCCTAATACATACACACGCTGCCGTAGATAAGATAAGTGTAATAACAGACGATCTTGCTCGGCCGAGCTACTCAGATTACGAGACTGTGTTCTGCCGCAAAAGGAACGTTAGTTATAGTATTGCGGCATTAATATCATTGGCTGCCTATAAACTCACCATCATATCGTCAAATACATGTATAAATACGTACCAATTCTCCTATCACTGAAGAAGAATTTTATGTCCTTTTTATCAGTCTTAGCACCCTAAAGGTTAACCTTACAGGCAGCAATCAGTTACATAGCGCCTATCACCATTATTCCGAAGTTAAACTCCAATATCCATATATCATCTCTTCAAATTAAACCAAGCACTATGGCGAACCAAAATAGAGTTATTTAAACAGTTGACCCCTCTACCAATCCGGCTTCATGGCCACCTGGACAAGCTCCAGAATTCGGCACTGCAATCTACAGGGTCGATGTTACTTACATCAATCTCAACAGGGATTCGGACTTTCGTACGCTTCGAACCGGCACCAATAGTCATATTCACCATGCAGTTATACAGGTGACAAAGCATATAGCTCGAGGCCTCTACCAAATCGTCAGTATGAATGTTGGCGAATACCAATGTATAGTAGTTATGGAAACTGAGAAGTTAACTGACGATCTTATGTCTCATGGGTTCCCCTGGGATAGGAATGATGACCCTTAGTTAAATGTTATTCTAGAGTAGGCGGGTGCGCTGATGAACGCCGCTCTAATTGGGAATGCAAGGATTACACGACTTTTAGTTCGGCTTCAGCTATCCGTACACCGAGATCTCTTGGTGCATCTAGTTAACATTTTCTGTATTAGAGTCCTTCTTTTTATAGTTTGATTGCGGTGATGGCATCGGTGATTTTGTATCGTCTCCTCATTGGCTGTTAATCATGCCCAGAACCCGAAAAAGTGGCGGATACGAGATGTCATAATCATAGACGAAAATAACCTCTCTTGACGTGATCAAGTGTCATGGTCACAATGATATAAAAACATCTAGCTATGATATTCATATAGGATTACGTACTTCATACAGGTCGTTTTTGAAAATCCCATGTTGCACACCGACAATTCCGCAATTATGGCAGCTGGGAAAGGTCACCTGTCGATCAGCGATAACCACGCTCAGGGTAGATTACTCATTAAGTTGGTATATAATCTCGTTTTCCCAACATTGTCCGCTCTTATCTCACATAAAGATAACTTACTACAAAGCCGTTGCCCAACCTGCCTGATACAAAAGATAGTTACAGCGGTATTATTCATTACTACAGGGACCCACTACAGAGCGCCGTCAGTGCTGTGGCCTAAGGTAACCAACTTAGCTTAATCAACCTCTCTTTTTTTTACGGTCACCCAATCTTTGTTGTTTTATGCCCATACATAGACAGACACCATGACATACGACCAGCGTATATCCACCATCGATGGATTGGTACTTTTATCCAGATATGATGCCTTGACGAAATCAGAGCATGTTCTGTACGATGGGAACCAGAGGATTGTTGAGCACACGGATGGAGACCTGAAGGTCTGCTGAATACATGCCAATGAATATCAGTTAAAAGTTTGACTGATTGGCGTCTAGTTCCATTTCGTTCTCACTAAATTCCTTATTAAAAAGCCGACCTTAACTACGCCGAATCAGCAAGCTTAATTAGAAAGTTTTATATTAAATGGTATATAGCTCCTCCTAGGAAGTAATATTAGTATAAACGGCTTTAAAATAGGCAAAAGTAAAAATAACCCTAAATTTCTTAGCTTAAATAAGTTCTACTTCTTATGGCTTTATCTTATAATACTTACTTAAGATGTGACGGTTGGTTTCCAACTGTAGGTAAACTAAGCCGTGCTAAGTTTATTGTTGGCAGATGGCGTAGGGCGTGATACTAAGCTTATCGAAGTGTCACGTCTCTTAATAGTAGATTTAATACGTATTAGGCTTAATTAATATAAAGAAGTTTTATTAATAGCTAGTAAGATAAGTTCTATAGAAGTATAATAAATATAGTCTATATACTTAAGGTGGTTATAAAGTGACCTGCGTAGTTACTATATGATTCTGAGAATTACTAGTGTTTTTAAAGTAACTATTATAACTAGATCTTAGCAGTTATAAATAGAATCTCTTAGTCTATAATAATTATATGTAATTAGTGAAAAATATAGGGTATATGTGATATAACCGCTAGGATTATAATATAATCTCTCCTTTCTCCTAGTCTTACCCTTAAGACCTTGCTTACCCTAAGTGTATTATTTCCTCTCTATGTAAGTCCTAACTTATTCTTATAATTATTTCTCTTAATATATTAATTATATTTTCTTTAGAAACTTAGCGTTGTCTTGCCTAAGTAAAACTTATTATATCTATAGGTTATAAAATTATGCCTTATTCTTTTTGCGCTAAGAATTATAAGAGGTGTATAATAAAGGAAGGTTAGAAGAATTATTCTAAGTATACTTATTAGGGCCATTCTTATAATAGGAAGGGCATTTCTTTATCTAAAGGTTTATTATGCCTTCTTTAGGTAAGTATTTTTATCTTACTAATTTTCTTTTTAGCTAATTACTTAGTTTAGGAGAAGAACTAGATTAAGGCTAATAAGGAGGCTACTAAGAAAAAGCTTATTAACTTATAAAAATAATTAAATAAGTGTTTATTAAAGCTTATGCATCTTTATTATTAGAAGCGCCTTATTTAGGCAAAGGGTTTACAGGTATTAGAAAAGGATTCTGCTATAATAGATAATTATAAAAAGGCAGAGAACTTAGTTTCTAATTCTAATAGGATAGTTAAGTTAGTTAAGGCTGGTATAACTAATCTTATTAATTAGTCTATTATCTTTAACCCTTCTTTTATTATAACTAGTAAAAACTTTTTAGAAGTTACTAGGCATTAATAAGATGTTTTAGTAGTTCCTATATATTTTTACTTTCTAGGTAGTTCTTCTATTTAATTAGGTATATTCTTTATCTATTAATTATATTTATTTTCCTAATTGCTTTTGCTTTATAGGTTTCTAATCTTATGATTTATTATAGTTTATTACCTGTTTTAACTTATATAGTATCTGCTGCTGATTTAAGTAATAAAATATAAAAGACTAGATGGAGCCTAACTTTCAGTAGTAGGTCTAGTTTGTAGTTATTTTTTGAGATTTTCTATAGTACTTTATAAGGTCTAATGAATTTATAGTCTAATTTATATATTAGTTGATCTGTTTTAATGTTTTTTATAGCTAGGTAGACTATATCTCCCTCTAAAAAGGTTAGTCCTTTTAACCATTTTAGATTATAATAGTTTTTTATGCATTTTCTAATAAATTTAAGTTCTATTTTTATTTCTTTATATAGATTTTTAAGGTCATTAGGGTTAGGATAGGGTTAGTATTAACTATCTAAGCTATCTTTGCTCTTGGGTTTTCTTTAGACTAAGATATAGCTATAAGATAAGAGTGGAGATTTTCTAAGAGATAATAAAAGAGATAAAAAGAGATAAAGAGAGGAATAAAAAAGAGATAAAAAGAGATAAAAAGAGGAATAAATAGGGAAAATAGGCTAAGATAAGAGGTATAACCTAAATAGGTAATAGGGAGAGATATAGCTAGGAAATAGCTAAAAGAGGGGATATAGCTAAAGAGCTAATAAAAAGAGATATAGCTAGAAAAGCTA